CAGCAGTAAAATGAACTTCCTAATAGAAAATACAAATTATCTGCTGGTACCCCATTAACATGCCGATTCTACCTTAAAACCATTAAAAATATTAAAACTGTAACTTGAAAGCAAACACTTTCAAGCTGAAATTTAAAAAAGTTCAAAGCGCATAATAAAATACATAAATTTGGGGGTCAGAGAGTTATACAAAAAATGTAATTGTAAAATGAAATTATTTATATTTCAACACGAAATCATTCCCCTAAAAACGGAGAAAGGGTCATTATTTTATACTAAACTGAATATATTTTTAAGCAAATGAGAGACAAATGTGCTCACCGTCATTCCCGACGTCCACTTGTCCGAATATTCCATGAATTTAGACACGAGATGATCCCCCTAAAAACAGAGAAAGGGTGGTTATTTTACATTAAATTGAATAATATTAAGCAAATAAGGGTAAAGTTTTCACCGTCCTTCTGGTCAACTTGCCTGAATTTCTTCGTTGGCTGCGACACGAGATCATCCCCCTAAAAACAGAGAAAGCGAAGTAATTTTACACTAAAAAAAATATTCATGGTTGTTTTATATATTCTTTATTCTTTATACACTAAATTGAACAGTTTTAAGCAAAAAGGGGAGAAGTCCTCACCGTCCTTCTGGTCAACTTGCCTGAATTTCTTCGTTGATTTCGAGACGCGATTATCCCCCTAAAAAAGAGAAAGGGTCATTATTTTACATTAAATTGAATAATATTAAGCAAATAAGGGTAAAGTTTTCACCGTCCTACTGGTCAACTTGCCTGAATTTCTTCGTTGGCTGCGGCACGAGTTCATCCCCCTAAGAACAGAGAAAGGGTGGTTATTTTACACAAAAAAAATATATTCGTGGTTCTTTTATAATATTCTTTATTCATATTATACACTAAATTGAACAGTTTAAAGCAAAAAGGGGAGAAGTCCACACCGCCCTTCTGGTCAACTAGCTTGAATTTCTTCGTTGATTTCGACACGAGATCATCCCCTAAAAACAGAGAAAGGGTGGTTATTTTACATTAAATTGAATATTATTAAGCAAATAAGGGTAAAGTTTTCACCGTCCTTCTGGTCAACTTGCCTGAATTTCTTCGTTGGCTGCGGCACGAGTTCATCCCCCTAAGAACAGAGAAAGGGTGGTTATTTTACACAAAAAAAATATATTCGTGGTTCTTTTATAATATTCTTTATTCATATTATACACTAAATTGAACAGTTTAAAGCAAAAAGGGGAGAAGTCCACACCGCCCTTCTGGTCAACTAGCTTGAATTTCTTCGTTGATTTCGACACGAGATCATCCCCTAAAAACAGAGAAAGGGTGGTTATTTTACATTAAATTGAATATTATTAAGCAAATAAGGGTAAAGTTTTTACCGTCCTTCTGGTCAACTTGCCTGAATTTCTTTGTTGGCTGCGACACGAGATGATCCCCCTAAAAACAGAGAAAGGGAGGTTATTTTACATTAATTGAATATTATTAAACAAATAAGGGTAAAGTTTTTACCTCCTTCGTCAACTAGCCAGAATTTCTTCGTTGATTTCGACACGAGCTTCATCCCTCTAAAAAAGAGAAAGGGTCGTTATTTTACATTAAATTGATATTATTAAGCAAATAAGGGTAAAGTTTTCACCGTCCTTCTGGTCAACTTGCCTGAATTTCTTCGTTGGCTGCGACACGAGATCATCCCCCTAAAAACAGAGAAAGCGAAGTAATTTTACACTAAAAAAAATATTCATGGTTGTTTTATATATTCTTTATTCTTTATACACTAAATTGAACAGTTTTAAGCAAAAAGGGGAGAAGTCCTCACCGTCCTTCTGGTCAACTTGCCTGAATTTCTTCGTTGATTTCGAGACGCGATTATCCCCCTAAAAAAGAGAAAGGGTCATTATTTTACATTAAATTGAATAATATTAAGCAAATAAGGGTAAAGTTTTCACCGTCCTACTGGTCAACTTGCCTGAATTTCTTCGTTGGCTGCGGCACGAGTTCATCCCCCTAAGAACAGAGAAAGGGTGGTTATTTTACACAAAAAAAATATATTCGTGGTTCTTTTATAATATTCTTTATTCATATTATACACTAAATTGAACAGTTTAAAGCAAAAAGGGGAGAAGTCCACACCGCCCTTCTGGTCAACTAGCTTGAATTTCTTCGTTGATTTCGACACGAGATCATCCCCTAAAAACAGAGAAAGGGTGGTTATTTTACATTAAATTGAATATTATTAAGCAAATAAGGGTAAAGTTTTTACCGTCCTTCTGGTCAACTTGCCTGAATTTCTTTGTTGGCTGCGACACGAGATGATCCCCCTAAAAACAGAGAAAGGGTGGTTATTTTACATTAAATTGAATATTATTAAACAAATAAGGGTAAAGTTTTTACCGTCCTTCTGGTCAACTAGCCAGAATTTCTTCGTTGATTTCGACACGAGATCATCCCTCTAAAAAAGAGAAAGGGTCGTTATTTTACACTAACGTGATAATTTTTAAATCAAATAAGGGTAAAGTTCTCACCGTCCTTCTGGTCAACTTGCCTGAATTTCTCCGTTGGCTGCGACACGAGTTCATCCCCCTAAAAACAGAGAGAGCGAAGTAATTTTACACTAAAAAAAATATTCGTGGTTCTTTTATAATATTCTTTATTCTTTATTCATATTATACACTAAATTGAACAGTTTAAAGCAAAAAGGGGATAAGTCCTCACCGCCCTTCTGGTCAACTTGCCTGAATTTCTTCGTTGGCTGCGACACGCGATCATCCCCCTAAAAATAGAGAAAGGGTGGTTATTTTACATTAAATTGAATATTATTAAGCAAATAAGGGTAAAGTCCTCACCGTCCTTCTGGTCAACTTGCCTGAATTTCTTCGTTGGCTGCGACACGAGTTCATCCCCCTAAAAACAGAGAAAGGGTCGTTATTTTACATTAAATTGGATATTATTAAGCAAATAAGGGTAAAGTTTTCACCGTCCTTCTGGTCAACTAGCCTGAATTTCTTCGTTGGCTGCGACACGAGTTCATCCCCCTAAAAACAGAGAAAGGGTGGTTAATTTACATTAAATTGAATATTATTAAGCAAATAAGGGTAAAGTTTTCACCGTCCTTCTGGTCAAGCCTGAATTTCTTCGTTGGCTGCGACACGAGTTCATCCCCCTAAAAACAGAGAAAGGGTCGTTATTTTACATTAAATTGGATATTATTAAGCAAATAAGGGTAAAGTTTTCACCGTCCTTCTGGTCAACTTGCCTGAATTTCTTCGTTGGCTGCGACACGAGATCATCCCCCTAAAAACAGAGAAAGCGAAGTAATTTTACACTAAAAAAAATATTCATGGTTGTTTTATATATTCTTTATTCTTTATACACTAAATTGAACAGTTTTAAGCAAAAAGGGGAGAAGTCCTCACCGTCCTTCTGGTCAACTTGCCTGAATTTCTTCGTTGATTTCGAGACGCGATTATCCCCCTAAAAAAGAGAAAGGGTCATTATTTTACATTAAATTGAATAATATTAAGCAAATAAGGGTAAAGTTTTCACCGTCCTACTGGTCAACTTGCCTGAATTTCTTCGTTGGCTGCGGCACGAGTTCATCCCCCTAAGAACAGAGAAAGGGTGGTTATTTTACACAAAAAAAATATATTCGTGGTTCTTTTATATGATCTTTATTCATATTATACAATAAATTGAACAGTTTTAAGCAAAAAGGGGAGAAGTCCTCATCGTCTTTCTGGTCAACTTGCCTGAATTTCTTCGTTGGCTGCGACACGAGATCATCCCCTAAAAACAGAGAAAGGGTGGTTATTTTACATTAAATTGAATATTTTAAGCAAATAAGGGTAAAGTTTTCACCGTCCTTCTGGTCAACTTGCCTGAATTTCTTCGTTGGCTGCGACACGAGATCATCCCCCTAAAAACAGAGAAAGGGTGGTTATTTTACATTAAATTGAATATTATTAAGCAAATAAGGGTAAAGTTTTTACCGTCCTTCTGGTCAACTAGCCAGAATTTCTTCGTTGATTTCGACACGAGATCATCCCTCTAAAAAAGAGAAAGGGTCGTTATTTTACACTAACGTGATAATTTTTAAATCAAATAAGGGTAAAGTTCTCACCGTCCTTCTGGTCAACTTGCCTGAATTTCTCCGTTGGCTGCGACACGAGTTCATCCCCCTAAAAACAGAGAAAGGGTGGTTAATGTACATTAAATTGAATATTATTAAGCAAATAAGGGTAAAGTTTTCACCGTATTTCTGGTCAACTTGCCTGAATTTCTTCGTTGGCTGCGACACGAGATCATCCCCCTAAAAATAGAGAAAGGGTGGTTAATGTACATTAAATTGAATATTATTAAGCAAATAAGGGTAAAGTTTTCACCGTCCTTCTGGTCAACTAGCCTGAATTTCTTCGTTGGCTGCGACACGAGTTCATCCCCCTAAAAATTGAACAGTTTAAAGCAAAAAGGGGAGAAGTCCACACCGCCCTTCTGGTCAACTAGCTTGAATTTCTTCGTTGATTTCGACACGAGATCATCCCCTAAAAACAGAGAAAGGGTGGTTATTTTACATTAAATTGAATATTATTAAGCAAATAAGGGTAAAGTTTTTACCGTCCTTCTGGTCAACTTGCCTGAATTTCTTTGTTGGCTGCGACACGAGATGATCCCCCTAAAAACAGAGAAAGGGTGGTTATTTTACATTAAATTGAATATTATTAAACAAATAAGGGTAAAGTTTTTACCGTCCTTCTGGTCAACTAGCCAGAATTTCTTCGTTGATTTCGACACGAGATCATCCCTCTAAAAAAGAGAAAGGGTCGTTATTTTACACTAACGTGATAATTTTTAAATCAAATAAGGGTAAAGTTCTCACCGCCCTTCTGGTCAACTTGCCTGAATTTCTTCGTTGGCTGCGACACGCGATCATCCCCCTAAAAACAGAGAAAGGGTGGTTATTTTACATTAAATTGGAATATTATTAAGCAAATAAGGGTAAAGTTTTCACCGTCCTTCTGGTCAACTTGCCTGAATTTCTTCGTTGGCTGCGACACGAGATCATCCCCCTAAAAACAGAGAAAGGGTGGTTAATGTACATTAAATTGAATATTATTAAGCAAATAAGGGTAAAGTTTTCACCGTCCTTCTGGTCAACTAGCCTGAATTTCTTCGTTGGCTGCGACACGAGTTCATCCCCCTAAAAACAGAGAAAGGGTCGTTATTTTACATTAAATTGAATATTATTAAGCAAATAAGGGTAAAGTTCTCACCGTCTTTCTGGTCAACTAGCCTGAATTTCTTCGTTGGCTGCGACACGAGTTCATCCCCCTAAAAACAGAGAAAGGGTGGTTATTTTACATTAAATTGGATATTATTAAGCAAATAAGGGTAAAGTTTTCACCGTCCATCTGGTCAACTTGCCTGAATTTCTTCGTTGGCTGCGACACGAGATCATCCCCCTAAAAATAGAGAAAGGGTGGTTATTTTACATTAAATTGAATATTCATAAGCAAATAAGGGTAAAGTTTTCACCGTCCTTCTGGTCAACTTGCCTGAATTTCTTCGTTGGCTGCGACACGAGATCATCCCCCTAAAAACAGAGAAAGGGTGGTTATTTTACATTAAATTGGAATATTATTAAGCAAATAAGGGTAAAGTTTTCACCGTCTTTCTGGTCAACTAGCCTGAATTTCTTCGTTGGCTGCGACACGAGTTCATCCCCCTAAAAACAGAGAAAGGGTGGTTATTTTACATTAAATTGGATATTATTAAGCAAATAAGGGTAAAGTTTTCACCGTCCATCTGGTCAACTTGCCTGAATTTCTTCGTTGGCTGCGACACGAGATCATCCCCCTAAAAATAGAGAAAGGGTGGTTATTTTACATTAAATTGAATATTCATAAGCAAATAAGGGTAAAGTTTTCACCGTCCTTCTGGTCAACTTGCCTGAATTTCTTCGTTGGCTGCGACACGAGATCATCCCCCTAAAAACAGAGAAAGGGTGGTTATTTTACATTAAATTGAATATTATTAGGCAAATAAGGGTACAGTTTTCACCGTCCTTCTGGTCAACTTACCTGAATTTCTCCGTTGGTTGCCACACGAGATGATCCCCCTAAAAACAGAGAGTATCCCCTATTATCAACAGCGTCTTAATGATCTAGTACATTTTGTCAACAGTGCAAAATGAACAAATCGCTCAATTTAGTTGTGTTCCCCCGTTCCCCGTGTGAATGTATGTATGAGACCAACTTAATTTAAACTTCTCACAAAACTTGTAAAATTAATGGATTAGAATGACTCGCAAGAACTTTAAATTCGACTTATGACGCTTAAATCTGAGTGAAGTGCACTTATCGCAGCTTCCCTGCCGGTTATTCGTAACACCTTTTTATACCGAAACGATTTCGTTCCCGCATGTCCTGCAGGAGTACTTTTGGGAAACGGCAAAAAAAAGGTGTCGAGTCGAGTTTTACACGAGAATAGTAACAAACTTCCTTTTCCCATTGAAATTGGGGAAACGGCCGTCCATCTATTTACACAAGCCGCAAAAGCGCATCGATATTATTACAAATTGTTTGCACCATTGTGTCATAACAATCGAGGAAAAAAAAATCGCCCAAGCAAGCTAAAGGTCCGCGCCGACCTCGACAATCGTACGTATTATACACAATGGAACGTTCAACTATACATGGGGGTACTCGAGGACAGCTGCCAAAATCCGGCTATTTATTAAACATACGTGTTAATCTGAGCACACAGAGAGCGATTTCGGGTCTTAGTCCCGGGGGTTTTAGGGATATTAACTACGAATACTGTTGCCGGTATTTATGCGGGGTGTGCGGTTGTTATGCCTCGGTTACACTAACATGTTTATTATTATTGGAATGAGCGAGCTTTTGCGGGTTGATTGAGCGATTATTATTCTGGTTAAGGGTAGAAGAACTTTGTCGATTATTTAACGACCGCGGGACGCATTCTAACTTGTGCTTTTTATCGTACGTCATTTTAGCCTATCTTTTTTCTACAGTAAACGCGAAATGCAATTGCTACGAGCACATTAGATTCTTGTTACTTCTGTCATCTTTAGATCGAACGAAAAAGGCGCTATGCCAGTGGCGGATTTACCAGCAGTAGGGTGGCAGATTTTATGGGGTGGCAAATTTGATCCAAAAATTTGTATCTTACAGAAATAAAAAAGATATTATTTTTATTGTACAATATTGTACAATATTTTGGTACTGTACTGCAGTATACTGAACACTCTACGTCTGTATACTTATGAAAAATTACTAAACGCTCTGTAAAATATACTTTGAGATCATGAATTTTTAAAATATCCGATCCGATCCAATATTACAATTTAAATTTAGTAGTTTTGTGTAAGCTGCGTTCCTATTGGTGAAAGAATTTTTAAAACATACCTTATAATCAGTACATGATTGGGCTTTTTTTAGCTCAGAAGGTACCCAAAAATAATGTTCTCGTGTAATTTTCACTAAATCGTGGATTGTAAAATAATGTAGAAACTGACACAACGATCTCCTAGGGCCTAGTTCACAATAATCATGCTAATAAGGGAAAACTGTTTTAATGAAGACGATAGAACACAAATCAAAGTTGCAATTTCATTGTTAGAATAAAATCACGTAATATTTCGAACTGGGATACAGAATTTCCGTTAGTCAATAGGGACGTCAAATACTGGCGGCAAATTTGTAAATCCGCCACTGCGCTATGCAATACAATAAGTCAGAATGTAATAAAATCTGAGTAAATTAGGTAGGTATAAAGAAATCCAATCTCGAAACACGCAAACCCATAATCGATGGTTGTCCAAATCGCGAGAGGGAAAAAGTATAATTATTGATCGTGCTATACGCGAGGGGTTAATTCGAAGGGGCGAGAGGGTGACGAATTAACATAAATTGAGGAAAAATTAAAGTTGACGTAATTGAATTGAGACAATAATACGCGATCGTGAGAGTTTACAGCAGTCGCTCGGTCAAGTTTTCATTTATTTATACACGAACACGTCCATGAATATTTTAACGCTTGATTGCTGCTTCATGACCCCAAAATATGGATAAAAACACTCGACACGCAAACTATATTTTACCAATAATGTTGCCAAATCAGTATTCATTATTCAAATCGTTAAAAATAGCTGGAACGTGGAAATTTAATAGTTTTGCCTACCATATTTTGTTAGTGCTTGGCGTTTTTAATTTCTATATTATAATTTGGAGATTTGTTGGCCGCCAGAGAGCGATATTTTATGTTTTTTTTATAATATATAAACAGTGGTCGCACACTATCGTGTTAGTTTTGACAAGCCCCAATTCGTTTCTGTTTGATCATCTAAATCCTGAGACTATTAATCCTTATTTAATGAAAAAACTACTATTTTGTTCGTCTTTATATAATTCCTTCTACTAGTTGGTAAAATTACTTTTTTTCGCGGTACTTCTACAAGGTGCAAAGTCTAGACAAGGTCTGAAACTACTGACATTTATTTCGCCTACTCTAAACGCGAAGGTTTAAAAGGATGGATCGACAAAGTGCATCAGGTTTCGGCCCCAAATATTCATCCCCGGTATATCCATCCCAGAAATAATCGTCACCGGATTATTTACCTTTCAAAAACCCCGCATGGTTTCCCTGGAAAATTCATGTATTCGCTCCCTCGCTTGAGTATTCCTCTTCCAAAGAAAATGCCCAAACCCTAGGGAACGATCACTATCGCAATCATTTCACGAATTAATCTCCATAATCGGTACAAAAAAGAATTCCAGGCTTACGAACTTGGAATTTCATTTCGGAATCGCGACTTTTGGTTCATCCCTTAAATTTTGAAATTTTGCCTATGAATGTTTCGGTCTGAAACTACCTCTTTTTCGTGGCCAGTGCTTTTAATTCTCTCTCGTTCTGTTTTCATCCACTAAATCTTAAAATTAAGCGTTTCAAATTCACGACGACCGCACATTGAAATTTACAATGGCTTTTCAAACGGAATTTTCGCCCTCATTAATCATACATTCATGCGAAGTAAAAAGATTTACGCCGAGTAACTTCAGCACATTGGTCAGTACTTTCCAAAAGGCCATAGCTATGAGTTCTATGTTTTTCTTTACTAGGGGCATCTATGGTTAATATTTCAAAGCAATATCTTCATAAATAATGTTTACAATATGAGATATGTTTGCTTTTAACAGAAGCATCTGTGATTCAAATTTCAAAAAAATATTTCGATAAATAAGACAGTTGCTAGACAGTTTACTAAAAGTATATGTGGTTAAAGTTTCAATAAAATATAGGGTGTCCATTATGCATGGAGTAAAGTATATATCTCGGTAAATATCGAATGTATACAAAATATTTCTATATGGTAGTGTTTAACATTAGGTATATTTCCCATAATAAGACAGCATTCAGTTGTTTTTAATTCATAAAACTAATGAATTACGAAAAACAATTGAATTTTTTTAAATGACAGTGCATCTTTTCATTGGGCTCATTTGATAAAGATTTTTTTTTCTTTTCACAATGAATGTTCAAAACCAGTAACTTCAAGGCAGTGCATGGCACAAAAAGCTTGAAATAAAAATTAATTTCTTCTACACGGGTTCTAACGTGTTGAAAAGAAAAAAATCTCAATCAAATGAGCCTAATGAAAGTGTGCATTGCTATTTAAAAAAATTCAATTGTTTTTCGTTATTCATTTGTTTTCTAAAATAAAAACAATGAAATGCTGCCTTATTATGTGAAATTAAATGTTAAACAACTTTTATATAGAAAAATTTTGTATACAGTCGATATTTACCGAAATATACAGGGATATTTATCAAGAAGTTTTCCTATGTCTACTTTTAAATGACAAAATGTCTTCTGAATGTAACCAAAATAACCTCTTTAAAAAAATAGATATCTTAATTTGAATATTGCTGCTTTAGCTTCCGTATTTATTGGTATAGTGATGGTGGCAGTAAGAGATTTATTTTTTGTTAAGTCAATTCAAACTGATTAATCTGACAGCAAGATGTTTATTCGATTTAAAAAGTTATTTTGTATGCATAAACTTAGTCGCCCTTCAGAAGAGATATTGGCATTTGAAAGTAGACATAGGGAAAAACAGTATACGGGGTGTCAATTTTAAAACTTGCAGTCGGCCATATTTCCCAAAGTAAAGAAGATATTGAAAATTACACAAAACCGTTTTGGGGGGTATCAAGGGGGAATCAGAATAACGTTATGAGTGACAACCCCCCACCCCCTTAACTCCCATCCCCCCCCCCTCTTCAAAAATCCTAAATAGCAACCCCATACTTGTGACACATCGTTGGAAAGCTACTGAAAAATTCTTTCCAGTGGTGCCAATGAAGTCAATATTCATTAAAGACAATTTAACAAAAATTTAATTATTAACAAAAAAAACTAAATGTTGTCATTGAGGGATTTATGGCAAATTGACCAAGAACTTCAAACTGAGCTGCTTCTTTAAGCAATCTTGGTTGCTTTCTTTTTCTATTGATAATAGATTCCGTTTCTTCGAATTTAGCGACCAAATCTTGAACATAGGTATGGCTTGATTTTTTTTTTGTTAATTATAAAATCTTTGTTAAATTGTCATAATGAATATTGACTATTGGTACCACTGGAAAGCATTTTCCAGTAGTTTTCCAACGATGTGTCACAAGTATGGGGTTGTCATTTAGGATTCTCTGCACCACAAAAACATTTTTTTGCTTCATTTTAGTACTCCTTTTTCGGAAATCAATTACAATACAGTTTTTTTTTAAATTGCAGCTGATAATTAAAACTTTTGATTGAGACGTCCGATCGAAAAAGTACGAATTGTTTTAGATTCTACGCACCAAAATTAATAAGAAAAAGTGTTTTCCCGAGAAATTTTGGTGCAGTCGATTTTTGGTAAAAAAGGAAGGTTATACACTGCCTTTTTTTGAGGCCCGAAAAAAAAATTGTCTCAGATCGACCCGGAAAAAATTTTTTTTATAGAATGTGGCCTGTAGAATCCATAATTTCAAACAGTTCCAAGATTGGGCTACTAGTTCAAAAGTTACAGCCCTTTGAATTTTCTTTCGAAATTGGTTTCTAGTCAGGGGCGGGCCAGGTGGAATTGCATAGGTTACGGGCCATTAAAGTATTAGTGTAGTAATGAAGGTGGCAGGGGGGTAGCTCTGCGGTGCACCACAAAAACATTTTTTGCTTCATTTTAAAGTACTCCTTTTTCGGAAATCAATTACAATACAGGTTTTTTTTAAATTGCAGCTGATAATTAAAAGTAACAAAATATACAATCCAAACGAGGCGCGTCGCCTATCATTGTATTTCATCACTTTCATGCTACGACAAAAAATGATAAATTCATTGTAAAACACTTCAATTAAAACAGAATTTTTTAACAACCTAACATCAACCCCAATTAGAGAAACGTGTTAATAACTTATTAATAGTGCAAGAAACTAAATACAGCCCATACTTATAAATTTCCAACGGGCCATTATGACGTACAGGCCAGGTGGCAATCGCCCCCCCCCCCCGGGCCAGTCCGCCCCTGATCCAGGCTATTGTTTATGCAGGAACAAATAAATGAATCATAATGATTGTCTGTGTGTTATATTCAGCTTAAATAACTTATAAATAGTTTTTTTAACAAACGAAAAACACGTCGATTTTGTTTGGAAGGGGGGGGGGGGGAATCTTTTATTTCAAAATTTACACCCCTGTTGTCAAGGTAAGCAGGGTTGCCACCCCTTCGATAATTTTAAATTGAACGTTGAACCGAGTGACAAGTTTCCTACACGCCTATGATTTAATTTCCAAATTCGAGCGACTGCTAATATTTCTTATAAACGTAAAAAACGCCTCGCTCAAATTTGATAGGAAATTAAGAGCCCTTTCCAATGATGTGTCACTCGACCCAACGTTCAATTTAAAATTACTGAAGGGTTGGCAACCCTGCTTAGGCGGTTGATCGCAGGGGTGTAGAATTTGAAATAAAAGATGTCCCCCTTCCAACCAAAATCGAAGTGTTTTTGCGTTTGTTTCAAAAACTATTTTCTTACGATTTATTCAGTCGGTTTCGTTTTCGTTGGGCCACCCTGTATGTAAAAATAGTGAGTTATTAAGAATCAAGTTGGCTTGCGAGGTTTGGATCTGGGACGAGCTAATGGGGCAGGTACCGTAAACGTATCTTCGAAAATTGGATCGACACGATTCAACAAGCATCGAGCACAATGTATTACCATTATTGCTAATTCAAAGCCAAAAATAAGGGCTGGGATCTTAAGAATAGATTGAGAAATATGAATATTGAATATTGAGCAAACGAGATTGTCTACAAAATACCTTATCTCAAATGGCGTTTGTTAATAGATTGTTGCACTTTGCTTGCAGTTCAACAAATGGGTTAACAATTATTTTCACTTACCTACCCGCATTGCGACACGTTTACTAATACATCAATGATAATTTTGTTCTGGTATCGTAATTCGAAACACGTGACAAAACCGCACTGTACCACGTCCGTTTATAAAATGAAATTTTGATAAAATTCGTGATCAAATTAATACAGGTGTAGTGACGTACACGGCCGATAGCATAAACATCTGTGCAGATTGGGCGCTGACTCATGCGTTATCTACTTTGCCAACGTTTAAATCGAAAAGACATCGTTTTATAATGATTACAAAATTAAAATCCGAATATTCAGAAAACTTTCCCGTTTAAAGACAATCGTTTTGTAGTTAGAAAAAAAGTACCCTTTCAGTCCTACGGTCCTACCAATTAGTTAAGAGTAAATTATCAACCCTATTACGAATTACTACTCTAATTTTAAGTTTGGATATGAGACGTACCTATTTGAAACGATTGTTGAAAACTGATGTATAAATTAGAAGAGGTGTTAACTCAAAATTTGGATGATCAAATCCAACTTGTCATAGGTACTACCACATAAAAATTACTATAACAAAGGATTCTTGCAATTGTTCTTATTCAAGTCAAGATAAACCACTTGCGTTAAAATCCAGATTAAAATTTTGATTTTTGCTAATCTCATCTTTCCCTTAGGTCGATAACGTAAAACATCTGGACAGATGAGTGGCTCACTAATTCCGAATTCGTTAGGTATATGAACGTTTAAATCGAAAAGAAACGATTAATCCCAGATATTTTTGCAACCCCTTGCCCAAACAAAAGGGGCAGCGAAACCTTTACCTTTGAGAAAGAAAATCATATTTGCGGATGTTTGGTATTTTTTTTAAGAGAATCTTTGGCAACCCTTATACAAATCACTACTTATAACTTCAACAAATTGGTTAACATTTTTCACTTACCTACCCATTGTGACACGTTATAATCTCGATACATATATTTTTATATGATCTAGCAATTCGAAAAAGACACAACCGCACTTTATCACGCCCGCTTATAAAATGAAATTTTGACAAATTCGTGTATCAAATTAGTACAGGTGTAGTGACGTATAGGCATCATCGCAATTGGGCATGAATCGTTATCTACTTTGCCAACGTTTAAATCGAAAAGACATCGTTTTATAATGATTACAAAATTAAAATCCGAATATTCAGAAAACTTTCCCGTTTAAAGACAATCGTTTTGTAGTTAGAAAAAAAGTACCCTTTCAGTCCTACGGTCCTACCAATTAGTTAAGAGTAAATTATCAACCCTATTACGAATTACTTAGTAGTCTAATTTTAAATTTGGATGATGAGACGTGCCTATGCATAATTTGAAACGATATTTGAAAACGGTATAAATTAGAAGAGATGTTAATTCAAAACTAGAAAAATCAAATTTCACTTACCACTCCATTGCACCTCGTTTGGTAAGACGAATAATTCGAAATACAACCAAAACCATACCGCACTATACGCACAATTTTAAAATACGCATTGTGAACTGAATTTGGGTACCAAATGAATACAGGTGTAAGTGACGTGTACGGCCGATAACGTAAACGCATGCGTGCATATCGTTCGCTCGTTCAGAATCAGTCACTTAAATTAAAGAAGGTTTCACCAAATCAAAACCCAGCGATTCGTCCTTATTTTTGATGTCGCTTTCTCAAACCAAGGGAGATTTTTTGAACTCCTCCCCAATTTTTTGGCTGTGTGACCTTTTTGTACGGTATTGACAGTAATGCATAACGAGGACTATTTCATTTTACCTATAAAAAAGCATTCATTCCGATGTAATGTACGTATTGGGCATAAAAATCTATCGATTATTGATCTTCTTTAATTCCGTACATATTATTCTGTTTGAAATTGAAACGCAGAACTGATACGAAGACCAGGAAGGGTGACATTCACATTTTTTAGTTCGAAATGTTATCCAGAAATTTTCTTCTTACAAGCCAAAATTTTCGCGCCTAATCTGGACTAGGTCTCGCAATGAATGTGGATTCGTACAAATATTCATTTTTACCAGATGGACTTTTTGGGTCCGTTTCTCGAACTACCCTGCGAACTACTGTTTACTGAACAGTATGGTCACAGTTGTCAATTGGACATTAACCTCCCTTTTACGCTTTTTGCTCTTGTTTTTTCAATGAAGGAAATGAAAGCTAACAATACTTACATAGGTTTTAAAACAGGAATTCTTAAATTAATAAACTGCACCCAGTGTTGGGTAGTATCTAGATCCACGATCTAGATCCATCACATGGATTTTGGGTCTGGATCTAGATCCTTGTTAGATGATGATCTCGTATCTGGAACTAAATTATATTACATTCAATCTTCCACTCGTAGATCCAACGATCAATTTTAATTTATATAAAAATATTTTTTTTGCAATATTTAACATCAGCGGCGTAAATCGTTTCTACTTAAAGAATAAATATGTCCCATTCAAGTTTTTGGGATTTTTGCGTAGACAGCTTTACGAGTAGTTTAGCTTAGGGGGTATTACCATATTACCAGTAATTGTTGACAGTACAACTAATTCATAGGCGTACCTGATGAGTTATCCGAAAAACATTTTTCTTATGCAGGTAAGCGCACCACTGTCCACTTTGCCTTAACTTCTTAAGTAGTAATTTCCTATAAGCATATACAGGGTGGTGACTTGCGTAACACATCATAGGGATTTCAATGTAATAGTATTTTACATTATTAGCCAGGTAAGTGAGTTTTTACTGGCGATAGGAGAAGTTGACTGGCGAGCCTGTCATCTCCTAGAGCCAGTAAAAACTATTACCTGGCGTATAATGTACAATATTTTATTTGTTACTCATTTGTAAACAATAGTAAACGTAAATTATTAGTTCTTAAATTGATCTCGAAAAAATGTCTAAAATATCATGTTATCCTATAGTAACAGAGACTTCGCACTAATTCTGGCCAATGAAATGACTAGATTACTAACTTGTAAAATTTTTACAGGTCAGCTGTCAGTTTTACAAGTCAGTAGCGTTTAAACGTGACGTTTACCCGTTTGCGTTTTGTCTTGTTAATCAACGTTTACAACTGAGTAACAAATAAAATTCATAACATGCGATTATTGGCTCCCCAAATTATTTTAGAGCAAAAATGTATTAAAGTTTTTTGTAGAAAAAATTTTTTTACACCAATCAACCCGTATTAGTTTTCAATTTTTTTCATATAAAGATGGAAAATTGGAAAAATAAAACCCGCATCTTTTTCAATAATCTGCGATGCCATGGAATTTTCTAAAACAAAAGATATCCAGTTATCAATTTACAGCAGTTCGAAATGGATTTTATAGCACTAACCAAGTCGATCATGATTGACTTGGTTAGTGCTTTACAGTTAATGGTGACTTATTCGAACATTTATTGTGAATTGTTAGGTATATTAGGAAACCGTTTTTCCTAATTTGGTCTTTTTTTATGTTGAATCGCTGTTCTAAATATAATACTTTTTGATAGAATTTGATTTGTTTTATAGCAGACATTCCATGGCATGACGGATATTGGCGTAGTTTTTGTATTATAAAATTCCATGGCATCACAGATTATTCAAAAAGATGCGGGTTTTATTTTTCCAATTTTCCGTCTTTATTATGCAAAAAATTGAAAACTAATACGCTTGATTGGCGTAAAAAAATGTTTTCTACAAAAAAACCTTAATAAATTTTTGCTCTCAAATAATTTGGGGAGCCAATAATCGCATGTTATGAATTTTACATTGAAATCCCTATGATGCGTTACGCAAGTCACCACCCTATATAGAATCACATTATGGGCGATAATTATGTCGCAAATTGAATGATTTGTAATGTCATTTTTGCGACAAAAAATTCAGTTCTGCAACAGGCGACTACTAAGTAAACGTAAAATCCAAGACTTTCTTGGTATTTATGCAAATTCACTTATGCACCTTGAAATTTCTCAATCTGTTTATTAAACGGCGGGTACTGGTAAAGGATTAGTAACTGTTGTGAATGTTTAAAAGGATATAGGCGGTTATTATAATTTTCAAGGAAGGACTCTTTCACTAAGGACTTACGTATAATTTTTCTTGCTGTTTTGCGAATTTTGCATCGAAAAAGGTAAAAACTGGGAAGAGGTTACACTCGCGGAACGAGATAGCGAGATAGATACATTTTCCTCATTTCGGTGTGCCATCTTTAAGATGGAAAATGAAAGTGAATTAATGGAAGCTCCGTTTATTTTAAATGGTATAAATTTAACAAAATTATTTCAAAAAATGACACTAAAGTAGTGACGCAGTGTCAACACTGCCCGTCTGGAATAAAAGGCAATGTTACGTCAACGGGGAATTTTATGAATATGCTATTGCTATAGACTATAGAGTATAGAAAGCATGCACGCAGAAAGTTAAGTTTTTTCATCATATCAAAATCTACTAAACACTTCTTTTCTTAGCAACACTAACTTTAGTGTATTTTTTTTCTTTTTTGTATTAATATTTTGTTAACTTTAACCTAAATCGTTATATTCTGATTTCTTTAGAGAAAACATCCTTCAACTTTCACGAAAGACGCTTTGTATTTTCAAAAATTCATCTTAATCTTAACATATTGTTTGTCAGAATAGATTTACTAATTATACCTAGCGGGAAACAAGTACCATTTTTGGTGTACACCAAAAATTCAAATTCAAATTAATTCACGTTAATTCAAATTAATTCAGAGGGGTGTACACCAAAAATTCAAAATTGTTTCCCCCTAGAATTATACTATGGGTTGTTCTGCAGGTTAAATACACTAATATTGGATTATATCGCTGAAGAAATGAGACCCATATGCACTGCTGAAAAGCCAGCCTTTGTTCGACGAGTAGGACTATCCTTGCGACCGGAAAACTCTAAATCATAAATTGGAAGAACGAAAATCCGCAGTAGTTGGTCATGTAAGGGAAGAATTAAATAAATAAAACCAAAAACAGCAGATGTTTGGAGTAGTAACACCGAAAGTTATCTTGGTATGATTGCCCATTATATTGACCATAATAGTTTCGAACGTAAATCTTTTGTATTGAGCTGTAGACGGTTTAAATTTTCACACACATTTGATAAAATTGCAGAAATGATCAGCCAAATTCATAATGTTAGAGATTCATAAAATTTCAGGAACCGTAACAGACAATGAAAGTAATTTTAGAAAAGCGTTTAACGTATTTGCCCCCGCCCAATTAAAATGCAATGAAGAGCTACATAATCAAAATGACGTAGATCTGAGGCGGACTGGCACGGGGGGGCGGGTGGCGATTGCCACCCGGCCTGTAGATCATAATGGCCCGTTGGAAATTTATAAGTATGTGCTGTATTTAGTTTCTTGCACTATTAATAAATTATTAACACGTTTCTCTAATTGGGGTTGATGTTAGGTTGTTAAAAAATTCTGTTTTAATTGAAGTGTTTTACAATAAATTTATCATTTTTTTGTCGTAGCATGAAAGTGCTGAAATATAATGATAGGCGACGCACCTCGTGTGGATTGTATATTTTGTTACTTTTAATTATCAGCTGCAATTTTAAAAAAAACTGTATGGTAATTTTCTATAAGAAAATTTTTTTTTCGGGTCGATCTGAGACAATTTTTTCTTCGGGGCTCAAAAAAAGGCAGTGTATTACCTTCCTTTTTTACCAAAAATCGACTACACCAAAAATTCGCGAGAAAACACTTTTTCTTATTAATTTGGGTGCGTAGAATCCAAATCAATTCGTACTTTTTCGATCAGACTTCTCAATCAAAAGTTATAGGCTAGAAACCAATTTCGAAAAAAAATTCAAAGGGCTGTATCTTTTGAACTATTAGTAGCCCAATCTTGGAACTGTTTGAAATTATGGATTCTACAGGCCACATTCTACAAGAAAATTTTTTTTCCGGGTCGATCTGAGACAATTTTTTCTTCGGGGCTCAAAATTATTAACACGTTTCTCTAATTGGGGTTGATGTTAGGTTGTTTTAATGGCCTATGCAATTCCACCTGGCCCTTAAGTACCCAGTCCGCCCCTGACGTAGATGTTAAACCATTTTCAGACTTTGAGAATGACACCCCGTACGTGTTTTTGCCCCAACATTTTAAATGTTGCTCACATACCCTCAGGCTTATTATTACTGTGGATGCGCTACCTGCCGCAGAAAATACAAGATACAAAAAAATTCACGATTTAGTTTTACAAAAAGTTTTCTCTTTGTGGAATCTAGTAAGTCGATCCACTAAAGCATCGGACGTAGTGGAAAATATATGTGGTATTAAATTGAAAGTTCCTTGTCCAACTCGTTGGACTTCTATGCATGATGCAGCGGCATGTATAAAAGTAATTATCGTTGAATTAAAATGAAATGAGCTTTACAAAGTGTCAAAAATAGACGAGTTTCGACAATCCGATTTAATGTTTTTAAAAGAACATATTTTTGTAACAAAACCATTAGCATTTGGTACAAAACGAAAAATCTGATCACTTAGGAACTATTTTACCACCACTTTTTAAAATTAAAGCATCACTATGGGAGCTATGACAAATTTAAAATTCTGTTCAAAATTACAGGAATGTTTACTAAATGGCCTTCAAAAACGTTTAGGTAATATAATGAACATAAAAAATGTTGCAAGCCGACCATATTTGTTCAAACCCAACATTTAATTTAAAATGGTTGGATTATTACTCCTTTTAAAAATGAGCAAATGTGCAATAGAAGAGGGGATGAAATTTCCTCTGATGATTTTTTGATTTTTTAAAAATAAGTAGTACCCACACCGGAACCACAACTCTGAACAGTGGGTGCAATGAATATTTTAATGATTCAGATAATACATTCTATCAATTAAATAAGTATAAGTACCCCGCTGTAAAAGAATGCTTTTTTTAAATATAATTATGTGTGCTGCCCTCTTCTGCCCCCATAGAAAGAATATTTAGTGTAGGCGCACAAATTTAAACTCCTCATAGAAATAGATTAAGCGATGAAATGTTTGAAACGCTATTGATTTTAAAAGAGAACAAAATGAGAACACATTTTTAGACTTAAGAATGCATTATTTTTAGACTTAAGAATGCATGTACAAAATTGTAACTATAATATTAGTGTTAGATATTTAATAAAACTTTCTGTACATTTAATGCATAATTATTTCAGTTTATGTTTTGCCATTTAATGGTGCAGATTGCTAATATCTAAATCTTATTATTAATAACATTTTAAAACTAATGTTAACAATAAAAAAAAGGATAATACTAAAAAAACTTATTGTAATACCGAAAAGTACAAAAATTGCTGCACCTTTCCTTACGGTATTTAGAATAATGAATCAAAACACAAATCCACCCATGTAAATCAAATTTACCTATGAAGGATCTAGATCATTTTGGAAGGATCTTTGATCTTGATTTAGATCCTTTTTTACGTGTGGATCTTTGACCTGAATCTAGATCATGATTTTTAAGTATCTGGATCTAGATATCCAGAAATAAAGGATCTTACCCAACACTGCAACTAGGTTCTTGCGGCGTAAGTAGAGTTTATATAAACTTCAGCAGCTTTACCTTCTCGCAAAGTTGTTATTTTAGGGATTTTTTTTTAAATTTTGGAGGGAGTTGTAATGCTCAAACCCCCTCTCTCATGAATGCGCCCCTGATTTTTGAACATCTGATTTAATTATTTTCATTGTTTTGTTGCCTCGAATAGATTTTGTTTTGTTTTTTTTAATTCATCACAGCCTACTTGATTAAAATATAAAAACCGTTGATATAACTGGTACCTTATTTTCAATCTTATATTATGATGGCTCGTTGAAAAGAGAATTAAAAAATCTATCAAGTAATCTAAAAATCCCATATGGCGCCTATTTAACTTGAGGAAGTTGGCAAATGTTCCTCAAAAGTAGCCATCTTGAATTTTTTTGACACCATTTCTAAATTAAACGTATCAAAGACAGTAACTTTTATATAAAACTTTTTTTTATATCTCTTACACTTTCGATGATATGACATTCAAGGAAATGACCAATCTTAGTTTTTTTGAATTTACGTCGAACCTATGCGAAATTTTGAATTTCCAAAAGGAAATTTTAAATAAGCATCTAAAACTGCAAAACATTGCCCATTTCATCAAAGCTCTATCTTTAATAATAACAAAGTTACCCATGCAATCTGGGACACACTGTATATCGTTAAAAAGCTGACGTACACTTTTTGAACTCGTACGTGTACTACAAAAGTCAGCGACCCTAATTATGAATAAAGATGAAATCTTGCCGGAACGATTGGCAATTTTTAGCAAATTAAACATTACAAGAGGCACTATTGCAATGGCTACCTACATAAAGCAAACTCAATTTGCACTATAATTACTAAAGTTACCATAATTTTAAATGAAACCCTTTAAACATGATAGGTCATTTATAGATTATAGATCTTACTTGTGATATCTATTACGTATATAATTACAATCCCAGTTTCCTAATTCAACGCGTTTGCACGTTTTTTATGTGGGGGATGAATCTCAAGTGCGCGAGACACTTTTCGAAAAAAAATTATCAATTTAGAGTAAGGGTGGAAACTGAAGCACGTTAATATCATACATGAGAGTTATCGGTGGTGGTGCTCCTGCTCAGTTTGAATTTTACCTTCATACTGGTGAAAAAAAATTGAAACCCCACGTAAAAAAAATCAATTTCTTCGGGCCGCTTGTGGAAAAAAACCCACCCTTACTTGAAGGATTGAAACCTGGATTGAAAATACACCAAGCGCCTCGGTACTCCCTACTGTACACTATTCCCGATTTTAGTTCTTCAAATGTCATGCCCACCTGAGTTCATTTAAATTCAAAAACATTACGCACATTACAAGGCAACTGGAAGCTTCTTAATAAACTTCTTAGGGCCGAATGCACAAAAGTTAATCAAAGCTTAACGGCGCTGTTAACTCATTTGTTTCGATTAAAAAATGACATTTGCTTTGATTAAATTAGTTAATTTAACGGAACTGTTAAACATCGATTAAGCTAAAATTCCTATGCACAAAAAAGAATTAGCATTAACGACGCCGTCAAGTCGGCTTTAATCACGGCAAAATTTAACCGGTGCTCATTGACTGATTAAACTGACAGTTCGTTGATAATGTTCAATTTGATCTTGTGGAACGTATTTTTATAGAATAATTTGACCTATTCTAATAGTTATTCGAGATGTTCCTTATTGTTAATTAGTGTTAAAGTTCTCAGTTTGTGTTCAGTTCATTTTTTAATAGGTACTTACTTTTTCATAAATAAATTTGGAAATAATATGTAAGTGAAAAATTACTTTTTACTTATAAATAACATAATTCCTTACTGTTTATTTAGCCATTTTCATGTTGGACATTTCACTCTCCTCTTTTTCTTCGTCCTCCGATGAAGAGGAAGCCCCCGCCAGGAGAATAAGATTTATAAGGGATAGAAACAATCCTTTTCAAATATACGATGATATCGATTTCAAAATGAGGTACAGGTTTTCGAAGCCAATAGTACAAAATTTGCTCCATATGTTTGGACATTTAATAGAACCGAAAACCAAGAGGAACAAAAGTATTGATGGCCTAACCCAGCTTCTAATAACTCTTCGGTTCTATGCAACTGGAACATATCAAAGAGTTATTGGAGATCATATCAACGTAAATCAGAGTACTGCCTGTCGTGTGATAAATAGAGTCACCAGACATCTTGCTCGTCAAAGGCCAAATTTTATAAACATGCCCAAGAACCAAGACGACATTTTACAAGTCTGTAGAGGCTTTTACAGAATCAGAGGGTTTCCTAAAGTGATTGGAGCTATAGATTGCACACACATCAAGATACAGTCTCCTGGTGGAAATAATGCTGAGCTATATAGAAATAGAAAAGGCTTCTTTTCTATTAATGTGCAAGCCATATGTGATGCCACATTAAAAATCAGGCACATAATAAGTAGATGGCCAGGATCTGTTCATGACAGTACTATTTTCAATGATAGTCCATTAATCCCGGAATTTGAAGCTGACCAATACGGAGCAGGAACTTATTTATTGGGGGACTCTGGATATGCTTGTAAGAAATATCTCTTAACCCCTTTCTTGAATCCCCGAACGCCCGCAGAAGAACGATACAACAGGTCACATGTGGCAACAAGGAATACGATCGAAAGAACATTCGGTGTGTTAAAAAGAAGGTTTCCTTGTCTCTTTTTAGGCTTGAGAAATACTGTTCACGTATGTTTGATGATAATAGTTGCATGCGCGGTCTTACACAATATTGCCATTGATTCAAATGACCATTTAAACGAATTTTTTGAAAATCAAGGCAGAGCTGAAGACATACCGATCGCAGAAGGTTACCGGAATGAAAATACATCCATTAGAACTGCTCTAGTTAATACTACTTTCAGTTAATAAATTTGTTCTGTCCGTTTATTTGTTCATTTACTTCCTTAAAAAAGGAACACAGAAGTTAAACAGCTGAATCCAGCACCTAACTGCGAAGTCATCTTAAACTTCAGCGAAATACTTTTTTGCTGATTTTCGACTTCGTCAGGTATATAGGTACTGACATTAATAGGAGGCAATCCCAAAAGAGCTTGCAGAAAAATAACATTTTATTATGTGGTTTTGTTTATGAATATTTCAATTCTTTCGTTTAACTATGCACCTTTTCTTTTGTAATTCTTAAAGTGTTTCGACCCTGCATTCTCAGCAAGTGTGTTTCTTCAAAGACTTTATTTAACTATGAGTAGGTACCTAAGTACATTTTTAGTAACGACGATGCCATCAGACAGATCAGAGTTATTATATTTACGGGGATTAGCATGACCATGACCAACCAATGTATAAAAATACAGTCAATATTATCAACACCATTTTATTTGAATAGAAAATATGTTCATTTACTTAATTGATTCATGAAAATGCGTTTTTTAAAATTTTTCTCCATTAGGAGAGTGCTGTATTCCAGCCTAGCATTCTTCAACTTTTGAAGGTAGTAATTTTTTTTAATTTGTTGAATGGACATCTTAGTTTTAGGTCGCCGTTTTGCAGCAATTATTCCACCTTTTGGCGCAGGTTGGCGATCAGCTATGGAAGAAAAGGAACAGGATGGTATACTTTGGTCCACCACTTCAGGGATGATTGCTGGGGGAGAAGGTTCTAATAGCAATATTGCCTCGTCATCTTTAAAACAATGTTTTTATTAAGTAAATGCAAACTTTGATTTGTACCGTGATAAGAGCTGGCACTATCAAATGGATTTGGTAAAGGCTTTACCGTATCACCCATTATCGATAGCACCAGACTCATTGAGTCGTTGGTGGTGCTTTCGCAGCTTCCTCCTCCAGTTTTCTTTCTTCCTTCCTTGGAAATAAGAATAAAACAGACAATTAAAAATGACGGAATCCTTTCATGATTAAATTACCTTTTCACATTTTGCGGCATATAAAGCTTCTTCTGGAAGCTTTTCTATATCGTCTTGTGACATTTCTCCATCGAAAGCTTTTTTTAATTGCTCTCGGTACCTTTCTTTCTAGAATCGTACCGATAATAGCTATGTTTATAAACACAAACGACGTATATTACTTACATTACTCGATGCCTCCGCTTTTCTCGCATTCCGCTTTATGTTATCATAAAAATGCTTTAATTGCTTGGTGGTTCTTTTGCTGATACATTCGGAGTTAAAATCTTCTGTAACGCACTTCCAAGCTTGCTGTTTCTGCAGAAGGATCTGGGCGCTCGTCACTCTCGATTCTAGTATATGTTTCTTACTAAATTGGAAAAACATGAGTATTCGGAGAAACTTTATCATTGTAATTATTGTGGCAGCTAAAATGATACCTATAACAACTCAAAATTCAACCGGAACTTTTATCGAATTCAGGACAATCACTAAGTTACTACGAGTATAATAACAATGTAAATATTTATATTAATAATCTTTAAACATGAAATGTTGTTATTCCACTTCGGTAAAGTTTTTTCCCCGTATCTTCTTTTCCATTATTAACCCAATAATATAAATTGATTATTAGATGACAGATAACAAAAAAGAAAAGCGTTCCACTAAAGTAGGCTTTGTAAAAAAAATCACACATTTCCATAAAAGTACAACGTTGCCGGCGCCAATTCTTACTAAATATTTAATCAATGCTTAATCACCTTGGTTAGTTAATCAAGGAGTGTTTTTGTTTTGTGCATACCAATCTAATTTAATCAAAGGTTTAATTTAATCATACCGATTAACTAACGGCCTGATTATTTATTGTTTGTGCATTCGGCCCTTAGTAATTTAATTACAAATATAAATTGCAGTTGGCAAAGGATAGTGACCTAGGATTATTTCTTTTTTATTAGAAACGTTCTCGGTCGTTTCTTTTTGAATAAATATTTATATTAATAATCTTTAAACATGAAATGTTGTTATTAGTTTACACCGTTGCTTTACAACACCTCATAAAAAGTGCAATAAATTTCCGTTCCCTGATTAACATTGATGAGGAACATTTTTCAAAATTGAAATCCAAACTCCTAACAGCTTCACGAAAAAATCGTTCGAAGGCGACGAGAATATTTTAATTAATATCCTGTAAATCAAGTCGGCGGTGGCCATAAAAATTACACCTGTTTGGACGTTTCTTAGTTTACGACTGTGTAGGAAAAACAATTGTTACTATACACGGTACAAAAAAAGAGAGGTTTCACACGTCCTTAATTAAGATTTTTTTCTCCTTTAATAAAAACGAGGACTTTTATATTCGCTTCGCTCGTAAAAGTAGAAGAATTTCTTCAGCTTAATTCAATTATTGATAAGGCCATTTGCGACGTCCAGAATTTAAAATTACCCGCTGAGTTTACAAGGCAAATGCGCATTTTAATACAGGGGGTTTACGATCGTGCAAGAATCTCCCCGCCCTTGTACTTACCCGCTCCTTGGTGATATTTAATAGGTTGCGTTGGTGTACAAATTAGAGCTATAAAATGTTAAATACGGCAAGAAAACAAACCAGCTGTGGAATGTTATAGCGTGCTCTCGGCATATTAATATGGTGTTAACACATCTTAGTATGACACCCGCCGCTCTGGACCCCTCTCGGTGAACACCGGAGACCTCCAACAGTAACTTGACAGATCAATTTGAATGTAATTTGAAATATTTTTATTGGGAAGGTTTTATTTTCACTGTTTTACCTGGACATCTCGTTTGGGGTCACGCTCTAAGTCAAGGTCCCCCCGAATGCAGAAACTAAGGGAGAGGCCGATTTGATCGAATTTCGCAAAGAAAATTGACTCGCATCCGGATTACGGGGAATAAATCATTTAATAATCGGAATACGGGGAGCAAATGTCAAATTCGAATGAATGAATCCGGTGGCTCGGTTAATTAGTTACGTTGCCTTGTAAAGCAGCTGCTCTTGTACATATTACGATCCATATACTCAATTATCTATTTAAAGTGTTAAAGTTCGTCTGTTTACTCGCCCATTCATGACTATTTACTCTATGAATGATTCGAGTTGTGACACAGCTTTAGGCCTATTTCGCTAATAAGCTTCCGGGAATTATGGAATTGATATATGAATAAACCACTTATTAAAGACTCGTCGCTTCTACAACCGATATTGATTTACCTCCACAAGAAATTAATAGAGTGGAGTCATCGACATACGTTAAATTTATTGAACTAATCCACTTAATTAGACATGTATTGGCGTATAACGTCAATATGATTTCATTATATTTCCGAAAAAGTGATTGAGTAAAAACCGGAAGAATGTAAAAAGTGTTGCAGTGTTTCTGCTTTTTACAGTTTCATTAACATTAACTTTTATGCTCACAGTATGTGCCGCCTTCTTAGCTTCGGGGACATATATAGCTAGAAAAATCATCCGGGGGGCTAAATGAAACCTTAGCCCTCCAAGGATTAAACTTGTATATACCCAAAACTTATAGATAATGTTTGTGTCGAAAACCATTTTTTTTATTGAACACAAGTAGACTTTAACTTAAACTAAACAACTATAACTCTCGCCAGGAAAGATTGCCGGTACATGTTTTATATTAAGCTTTTGGTATACCCGCAAATTTAAAAATAAATTTCAACATTTCTGTTATTAATAGCAATAGCCATGAGAAGGTATTGATTTGATTTTTTCAAAATATTTGGGTTTAAAAAAAAGAGGGATTTATGACGAACGAAACGCTATGTAAGTCTCAGTTTATGCACGATGAAGGTTAATTTTTGGGCAATTTTTCGAAGTACAATGTAATACCGTTATTTAAGTATTTAATAATTTAATTTTTGGAGGGGGGGCGATTTGATTTTTGTAAATATCTCCAAAACCAAGAAGACACAGACTGTGAGCATAAAAGCATAGCTAAACATTAGGCAATGCAATACCGGGATCCCGCAGAATTTTTGCGGGATTAATCCCGTACGGAAATGGAGCGGGATTGAAATTTGCTGCCAAGCTTACCACGGGCACGACGTGATGTTTAAAATTTATTAACAAAACGCGTAAGTGTTAGTGAAACAATAAACTCCTTTTTGAGAATCGAAAAATGCGCTAAAAAGGTACTCGTATATTTATTTCATAAATATGAAGTGACTCATCTTTGCGAGATTATATATAGATAATATATCTCTGTCTTTCTTATGTATGTTGGCACAGATGCTCCTTTTTGAAAGCAAATGGGAGACTATATCTATGTATACAGGGTGGTGCTCGGTAAGTAGGAACGTAGGTATTTAAGATGGGAAATCAGTTTTATGCAATATCCTGCCCTCCTGTACATTTTACAGAAAAAAACTGTAGAGTTTAAAGTTGTTCAGAATTAAAAGGTGCATACAACACTGTTTTTACATGTTTTATATTAAGCTTTTGGTATACCCGCAAATTTAAAAATAAATTTCAACATTTCTGTTATTAATAGCAATAGCCATGACTTTTGTTGTTTTATGAATAGCTACTAATAACAGAAATGTTGAAATTTATTTTTAAATTTGCGGGTATACCAAAAGCTTAATAAAACATGTAAAAACAGTTTTCTATGCAACTTTTAATTCTAAACAACTTTAAACTCTACAGTTTTTTCTGTATAATGTACAGGAGAGCAGGAGAATGCATAAAACTAATTTCCCATGTTAAATCCCTATGTTCCTACTTACCGTGCACCATCCGGTATATGATCTAATGAACTAAGATTATTTTACACTTTTTCTACTATTCTAAGTATTTAAACGTATGTACCGGTATTCCTAATATAATATGTCGACTCGATTGTTTATAATAGCTTTAGTAGTACAGAGGCTGTATGGGAATATTGTAGTGAATATTCTAGAAATCCAGATAAACATGGAGCCGTTGGACACCAACGATAAGAAATGAAAGCGGATGTGACGCATATTTTCGGGAGAATATTCGGTTAACCGTACAAAATTGCTTATTTCCCAATACATTTAAAAATTTTCGGAATCCCTCAAATACCGGAATCCCGCGAGATTGACTTATAACGATCCCGCAAATACCGGGATTGAAATTTTGCTGCGGGATTGCATTCCCTACTAAACACAATCGGAGTACTGTATGCAATACTGTCGTTTGAGTATGAAAAGCTTAATTTGGAGGAGGGGGCTAAGTGTTCATAATTTTCGAAATATTTCTAAAACCAAAAAAAACGCAAATCGTGAGCATAAATGCGCAATTGCACAGTAGATACACAAATGGTTAATTTGTGGGCTATTGGAAGGGGGGTGGGATAAGTGAACAGACCCGCTAAAATTTATCTTGGAATCCGAAGGTAACTTTCGATACTGTGTACCTAATTATAAATTTTAGGATTGCAGATTGACAGGCATGAGCTTGTGCTATACCTATTGACTATTTAATCTCCAAGGTTCTTTTATTGATTTTGGAAAATGGTATGGCCAGGTCAATGTTTGGTTAGAAATCGACACTTTTTACAAGACCATTACACCTTACAAAATTTCTTCTTACAAACCCTTAAAACTTTGGATCCGTCCATTTTTTAAATTCATCGTTTAGTTTCCAAGATACTATGTAGCACAAAGAATTTTTTCGTCAATGTAAAATGAAAACTATAAAGTATTCAAATTTAAAGATAATTTCCGCCTCTCCAAAGATGCTATGGCAAATTGTAGCAGTTATGGCCAATAGCGTAAGTGATACGTAATTTAAATAATATCATTGAGTGAGCTCTATCGTAAAATATTTACCATTAAAGACTTTTGAAGGGACCTAATATTAATTTTCTGAGTAACACGGCTCTTGGAGAGCAAATCCCCCCCAAATACTGACAGGGGTGTTTGTAAAGTAACTATTTTAGCATAAATAATGTTCTCTACCTTCCAATAATTTAAAAGCATAAAAATTGGGTACTGGACAATGCTGATCGTAATAGAAACAACATTTCAGGAAAAACTTGTGGGTTGTAGTGGAAGCTATTTTAACCTCCTGTGGAGTTGTAAAGGTAACACGTTTATATGACTACCGCTTCTAAAGGAAGAGTTAATCCTTTTACAACCCTCGGGTATTTGTTAAAAAAACCGGTAAACAGGAGGTTTAATTTGAGCTCGGGCACTAACAAAAAGATGTAAGTTTGCGCGATGTTATGTTAATTCTTGCAAAGAATTTGCCAAATGACCACCAAATTGACGTTGCCACTATAATAATGTGCACCGATATAATGTTCTACCACCATGTAGCATTACTCTCTATATCGTGCGGTCTACAGCAGATTTGCAAATATGGAGAGTACATAATTTAATATTGCGATGACCTCGCAGAGGCTCTCAATCCTCCCGTTCTGTACGCAAAGAAAATGTGTCTTTTCATTACACGGACATTAAACAAATAAGAGATAATAGGTACATTGTAATTGGAGCTAGTGT